TTAATAGCAAGCTCATGAATTATCAGTTTGAGCAATTGTTGTGTAAAACTTAGCAGCATTAGGTTGACTAGACAAGATAAAGATTAAGGGTGCTCTTGAATGGGTAATACATTTGGGAAGGTATATTATGAGGAAAAGAGAAATAGGTAGATTGGAGGCAGTAGCCCCAGGATGAGTTACACAAAACAAGAAGGAAGGGAGTGGGGTATAATGGGACAGCTTTTAGGGAGTACTGGAAAACTCTGCAGGAAGATAGATACAAGGGGTGGGAGGAGTGTCTACAGAAACAGAAGCACTCTCATCTAACTCAAACTAGTAAAATTTGAATATTGTGTTACCTCAATCAAAGGTTTATGATAAGAGATAAGGAACAAATTCTGGTTTAAGGTGGCTCACCTCAGTGTTAGCACAATAATGCTAACCAGATTTTTATGCTTCCATGAAACACAGGATTAGAGAACTGGAGTAGACACAAAAATCAGGACTCAGCAAATAAAGAGTGAGGGGAACATGAACTCTTGGGTCTAACCCAAAGGACTCTCAAGAAGAGTCAACTACCAGGCTTCTGAAAGTAGTAAGATACCCATTCAATCGCAAGGACATAGTTGCCCAATGACCCTCTATGACTCATGAAGCACCAGGAATCAGCAATGCAATGGCTGCTCCTCTTGCACCATTACAACACTCTCCATTGATTCCATCATGGACTTTTATGCATGTTCCGAGACTATTCCTTCAAGGTTGATATCTGTTGTTGTTGTTAGGTGTGACTGAGTCCATTACAACTCACAGAGACCCTAGGAACAACAGATTTGAACTCAGTCCTATCGTGTACCAACCTCATCATCTCCACCTCACTTGAGTCCACGGCTGCTCTCACTGTGCTTATCCATCTCACTGAGGGTCTCCTTTTCTTTTAATGACCCTCCTCCTCTACCTTTCCAAGTATCATGTCCCTCTCCAAAGAAGAGACTTTCCGAGAAATATGTCCAAAGTGTGTGAGAGGTAGCCTCGCTATCCTAGCCTCCAACGAGCACTCTGGCTACACTTTCCCCAAGACTTATCTGTTCATTGTTTTGGCATTCTATGGGATATTCTGTGATCTTTGCTATGAGAAATTCAGTGCTCTTCTCCTACACCACAACTCAAAGGCATCAATGTCTCACTTCATGTATTACCCAGCTCTCAGATGCACACATAGCAAGTGATTGAAAAGATCATGTCCTGAATCAGATGCACCATAGTTATCAAACTGACATCAAAATAGTATCTTCTTCTTGTTAAGTGCCACTGAGTTGACCCTATGAACAGCAAACCGGAACCCTGCCCTATCCTGTGCCATCCTCATCATCTCTGACACAACAGAACCCATTTCTGAAGATACCATATCAATTCATGTCATTGGGGGTCTTCCTCTCCACTGACTCTTCATTTTTCCAAGCATCATGTCCCTTTCCAAGGAATAGCCTCACCTACCTACAAGATCAAAGTACTAAAGACAAAGTTTTGTCATCTTTGCCTTTCCAGGGCATAAATAATTCTCCAAAGTTACAGCTTTAAATTGGTTTAAAATAAACAATTAATTTGGTTTTCTCATTCTGATTCAAATTCTTTAAAGCTCAGAGTTTCAGTGAGCAAAATAGGCTTATCACAACACAAACATATTCTTAGAAACACACTTTACTAAAAGCATATTGTTGTTGTTGTTATTGTTAATTGCCATTAAATTGCCTGTGACTCATAGTAACTCTATGTACAGTAGCTCTGAAGCCTGCCCTGTCCTGAGCCAGTATCAATGACTCTGGTACACCTACTCCCTTGCCCTAGTTGCTCTATCAATCCATCTCATCCAGGGTGTTCCTCTCCTATGCTGTCCCTCCACCTTTCTGAGAATGATGTCCTTCTCCAAGGACCAGTTTCTCCTGGACACATGTCCAAAGTATGTGGAACAGAACTTTAAAATGCTAGCCTCCAAGGAAAAACTTGGTTTCACCCTCTCCAAGACAGATTTTTTTCCCTCCTTGGCAGCCCATGGTATATTCAAGACTCTTCTCCAGCACCACAACTCGAAGGCATGATTTCTTCTTCATATAATCTGTCCTGGCTATACTCAAATAATCACCTCCAAGAAGGAGTACTTGAATTTACCACCTTGCTATTTCCTGGGCTGAAGCACAGATAAATGTCCCAAGCATCGTCCTCACAGACAAGCTCCTCAATTTATGTCCAACTAAGTCCTAACTTTCAAATCCATTATATTCTAGTACGAAAAAAGAAGTAGTTCTGGGAACAATTGTTTTATTATTAAGCAGCATCAAGTATCCAGCTGCCTGACCAATAGGATGTGACCACTGATTTAGCCAATGGTGTGATTTTTATGACAGTATTAGTTCTTACATTCTGGCTTTTGTATTTTCAAAACTATCTCCACAGTTGCTCATCTATAACAAACAAACAAACAATAAATGCTGGTCAAATGTTTTGCAGATAGCTACTTTTTTAAAACTAGGGTTGGGAAGTAAATTTTTAAATTCTAAGAAAAATGTTGACACTCTGTTCTAAACATAACTATATTTTGCAAGGGTGCACTTACGAGCAGTAAACTCAGCAATCTCAAGGGCTAAATACACATTTCTACTTCTCATTTTCCTTACATGCCTTCCCTTCCCACATGGGGGTTTTAGCATCAATCTTAAAAACAAGAAATAAATCTAGAATGCTCAGAATTGTGACATTTCCACTAACTTATTTTTGGCACATTTTCATGAAAAACCAGTCTCTAAAAAAGGACATGTCTGGTCAGTGAAACAAACAAACAAAAAATCCTCAATGAGATGGATTGACACAACAGTCAAAATAATGGGCCCAAACACAGCAATGATCATAAACACAGCACTGTGCTGGTCACAGTACTGTTCTGCTTTATAGAAGGTCTCGTGAATTAGAGTCAAAGTGATAGCAGATAACAAAAATGTCTAGTTTACTCCAGATCCTTGGTCTTGTCGAGGTTTAAGGGCTGTGAGATCTCTAACACAGTTAAGGTAACTAAGGACTTTGGCTAAGCCATTTCCAGATAATCTGGGATCAGAGAAGATAAAATAACCAGGTATGAATTCACACAGAAGTTGTGGTGGTGCAGCACATAATGTAATGGGGCTTTTAGCCAAAAGTCTAGGACTATGCACCCAGCATCTACTCATTGGAAGAAAGACAGGTAATCTCCTTCTAAAAAGACTTCCAGTTTTGGAAACCCATTAGAGGGTCACCAGGAATTGGCTGTGGGTTTAGTTATGGTCTGGTATTAGATTCACAGGGCATTGTTGGAGGGGGAAAAAAAAACTCTCAGATACTTCTAAACCTGTGCTGCATAGCTCACTGACCCCTAGGCTTTCTCAATAAAAATAAAAGCTGCCCAATCTAGTCTCTTGGATCAATTAAAATTAAGAGTAGTGTGGCCTAGACATGTGATAGCGGTTAAAGAGCCTATCTAAGAAGGCATGAGTTCCTAAGACTTATGGAAGTATAACCCCCCTTTCATGAATTTTCATTTCCTCAGCTGTGAAACTGGTGTAATATCCAGTTTACAGTTTATGCTAAGGCAATCTTTACCAGGCAAATGTCTAATCATCCTTTGTCCTGCTGCTTCTATATCCTCCTTTCTCTGGTAAAGTTTCCCTCTTTTCTTCTTACAGCATTGAGCTCCTTCTCCTACAGCCCCTAATGAACAGATGTTATACTAGCGACCCAATCTACAACATCAGGTTAAACACACACATGTGAGGTCTACTCTCCTGCTTTAGATCACTCTACTGAAGCACCTAGAACTCTGGGTTAAACCATAATGTGCCATGTCTACTTTCTTATTGTAGGCTTAACCTGGTTCACTTCCCTACCCTGAAGGCCCAATTAGAGTGGATGGCACAAAGCTAAGTACACGATGAATATCTGCCAAATGAACAAGTGATCTTTACAAAGACAAAAAGCTTTTGAAGCCTGACTTGTTGTATTCTTTGATTCTGATATAGTACCCAGTGCTAATAAGTCCTTTAATAAATGTTTCTAGTAATATAAATGAACAAAACAAGTAAATGGTCATGTTAAAGTACTTGGGAAAAATCTCTATTAAGATTCAGGCATGAATATAACTTATTTCTTGCTTCTGGTCCAAAAAGCTGGCTTTTAGTGTTATGCTGGGGGAGTTCTTCTTGCTTTATGATGTTCTCTAGAAAAGGACAGACTTCTAAACAACCCTTCAACTAACTTCAAGGTGGACTTCTTCCTTACAGTGAGGCACCCATGATGTTGTCTTTCTTTGTCTTTCAGGACAACTAGTTAAGGAGTCATGATGGGATGATAATAACATGGCTCTTGGCTGCTGTCTGAAAGGTCAGTGGTTCAAATCGCTCATTGGTTTCTTGGGAGAAAAGACCTGAGGCTCTGCTCTCCTAAAGATTCCCAGACTGGGAAACCTGATAGGGCAGCTCTACTCTGTCACAATGAGTGGCTCTGAGTCTAAATTGACTTGCTGGTGTCCAACCAGAACAACAGACAACGAATTAAGGAGCCTTGATGATGCAAATGGTTAAGTGACTGGTTGCTAACCAGAGACTGGCAGTTTGAGACTACTCAGTTGCTCTGCTGGAGCAAGACCTGGTAATCTACTTAAAGATTATAGTTAAGAATACATTTGGGGCAGTTCTACTCTGACATACAGGACTATCCTGAGCTTGACAGCACTCCACAACAGTTAAGGAATTGGTGTCTTTGCATTGCACAGATTAAGGAATTTTTTATTTATTTATTCATTATTTTTTTTTTTTTAGGATTATGGTATGATTGAATTTAGCTTCAAAACCATCAGAGGCAGGATAAAACTGTCTGGGACTCGTGTCCACGCCAGGCTCTTCGCTCTTTGTATCACGTGACTTTGGTCACGGATGTCAGCAGGACAGCTTGGAATGCCCTCTGAGTGCAGAGACCACGTGGGGGTGTTTTCGTACCTGGCCTAGTTGTAATTCTTTGCGTAGCTTCAGGATATACTGAAGTATTTGGAAAAATAAAAGCTGCACCCCCTGCAGACAAAAGGAAAGACAAAACATGTGAAGGTCTTTTGTTGCGGTTGTCAATATCAGCATCAGTGCCAAGCCTACTCTTCCATGTCACAACAAACAGGCAACTGCCCTGGAACCTGCCAGGCAGACCTCTGGCCCCTCAAACAAGCACAGACTCTAAAGACGGGGAGAAGCCACATTTGTTGTCAGGTATTTGTGTTTGAGGTTTTTCACAGTTTCTTTCTGTCCTGTCCATGGTTCCCAACAGTCTCTCATTGTATTAAAAGAATTGTTTGGTGTGAGGTGGTTTCCCTTCCACCCCCTTTTCCTTACATTGTATAAAACCCCATAAAACATTATACAGAACTCTTGGAAAGCAGTACCAAGGAATTGCAAATATTTTGCCTTCAAGGATATGGATCCTATTAAAAATTAATCCACATCTCTCTCAGATGTGTGCTTGCCCTTCATCTTTTAAGTCCATTCTTCTATTGTTAACAGAGAGAATTCCCTCCTCCAAGTTCAGTCCATTTTCAATAGAATTGCTTCTATGTTTAACAATGACCAAAATAGTGAAGCCAGAGAGTCTTTGAAACTTTCACTCATAGTTTAGAAAAACTGAAGTGACTTTGACATGGTCAGAAAATATGCACAGTTCAAATGTACAGGGAGAAGGAATTACTCTCAGTTATTTCTGGTCACCAAGTTACTAAACATAAAGTTTAAAACCTGTACTACCTATTCATATAATTTTTTTTTAGGTAATTTGGATTAAAAGCACGCTATGTTGACTGGATTTAGCTAACAATCAGCTGTGGGCTGGAAGCCTCTTGTTTAAGTCAATCAGGACCTTGTGGGTGGGCCTTTCCATTTAAAAGTCATTTGGGCCCTTGGGACTAGTGTTAATTGTGTTTGGGAAGAAGATTCTTGTAAATGGTACAGCACTGGTCTGTCAGATTGCTGTACTGAGATAACTTAGAGTTGCTGTCATACTGAAAACTATGCCACTGGTGTATTAACTGCCATAATGGTTTACCCATGGTGGACAGGATTTGGTAGAGCTCCCAGATTAAGATAGGCTTGGAAGCAGGATTGACATCCATTTCCTAAACATGTTTTTGGAAACTCTATGAACATTAGAGAAATGACGATACTTATAGAACAGGATTTGGGTCTTTTGTTCATTGGGTTGCTATGAGTTGTACTCGACTTGGTGGCACTTAACAACAATAGTGTTGGCTAGGGAAGACAACTGGAATACATAAACTTAGACTGACTCACACTGGACAAAATGGTAAATTTTAGAAGAAACTGGGAAATCTTTTTTGAAAATGCTGCATTTTCTACATGAGGGGTGAACTACATTAGGGCTAGCTGGCTTAGGGAAGGATTGTCTAAATCTTTTCTGTGTGAGCTTATTTTATTTGTAGATTGGGTGTTTGAAAGAGGTCTCTTCAGGCTAACTGAGCGGGTGAGCAACTTGGTGGTCATGCTTCTGCAGTTCTTGTCATACAGGGAGGAAAGGTGCTGAACCAGAAGCAGAGCAGTCACTGTCAGAGCCAGAGGGGTGGGAGTGAAGAGGGTTAACCAGAGAAAGTGCTGCGTCAGCCCAACCAGCACAGGCAAAAGACAACATGAAACCAGTAGCCACGGGTTAGAGACAGGCATTTGGTTAGTAACTACTTTCAGATCCTTCTAAATTATAAGAGTTTCCCTTTGAACAAAAGCTCGCTTGAATGCGACCAGCATTCATTACCACTGCATTCTGTATATTGCACAAAGTCTGCATCAGAAAATGAAAGCTCGTCAGATGGTTCAACACTTTAATGGAAAAGGAAAATTAAATTCCTGCTTGCCCTGGCAAACATTCCTTTAAGGAGGAAAATGCAAAAGGAGAAAAAAAATAATAATACAGGAGAATACTAAGTGCCTATTTCTATGAAACATGCTTTTTAGTTTCTACAGAATCAGCTCAGAGCATATCTGGGGATGACCAGCTGCAGATAAGAACCCAGCAAAAGTGAGCAGAGGCTATGGCTGAAGATTGAGTCTGCACAACTCCAGACCATAAAAAAAGTTGTCTGCCTATCAGAGGAGAGAAAAACGAAGCTCGAGGCCAAAGGCTTCACCTCCTTTAGGCAATGCCCCAGGCATGGCCACAGTTTCTAGTCTTCCAGTGGATTCCCTTCGCTGGCTCCCTCTATGCTGACTGGTTCCATTTTTCTTTGACTTCCAGGCATGCAACCTGCAGACAAACCCTACACCTGTTCTGTGGGGGAGGGCAGGGCCAGCATTACCTGTGTTTCTAGCATGCATTAACCGCGGAGAGTTTTGTAAGGCTTTATCCACATCATCGGAAGTCAAATGTGGAAGGGGAGCTACAAAACAAAACAAAAAGCGACATCAAATGAAAAAAAAAAAAGAGAGAGAGAAAGTCACCTTTCTTAAAAAGAAAAAAAATATTAAAAAAAGAAAGAAGACATGCCCCCCCCAACCCCACCCTGCTGTCATCGGTGGCCTCGAGCGTAGCTCATTCACCCTGCTCCTTGTTAGCGTGTTAAAACCTAGATGGGTGTCTGGACTTAACTGAGGAACTACATGGTTGGAATGCCAGGCAAAGCAATGGAGGAGAATTTCCACCCCCACCCCTGTGTTGCACCGCTTCCTTCTCTTCATGCTGGATGTTTTAAAAATTAAAGCATGCAGCTAATGTGGGGATTCATGCCTCTAATTGCCGAGATGCTAATCCCACTCTGGCAGGTTAAGCCAAATTTCAGGATCAAGAGTGAAAATGTCCCTCTTTCAGGGTTTAGAAAGGTGCCCTACAGGCACAGTGGCTAAAGCACTAGGCTACTAGCCAATGCGGGAGCTTTGGTGGCCTGGTGGATAAGAAATTGCCTTTCTAACCTGAAGGTAGGTGGTTCAAACCCATCTGTGGGAGCTATGAGCACGTTCTGACTCAACGGTGTATCACTACTAATCAAAAGGTCCACAGTTCAAAGCAACTAGTGGCTCTGCAGGACAAAGGTGTGGTAGTCTGCTTCCACAAAGATTACCGGCTGGGGATCCAATGGGGCAGTTCTCGCCTGTCCTAAAGTATCTCTGTGAATCAGAATTGACTCAACAGCAGCAGGTGTGGTTTATTTGGCTTTTGGGATTAGGGTGGGTGTGAAGGTGGACTCACTTTAGCTCCAGGAAAGAGAAAACCCTAATTTCCATTAAGGAGAAAATGTTCAAATTTAGAGTACTCTGGACACTACACACACGACCAGGTAAAGCTTCATTCTCCTTTAATTTAGGAACTTCTTCTCCCTTTAATTTATAATGTATGAACTTTCTTTTCATCAGAAAGGGAGGACACTAGTTCTTAGCCTAGAAGAGGTGGCTGAGTGCTAATGTGACGTGTTGATTTCTTGTCACTATAGTAATACCTGTCCTCAGTACCTGCACTCTAAGCATTTCATTCTCTCTGATGCTAAATGGGACAAAGGTTAAAGAAGGGAGATGCTGTCAATAGCAAAGTTGTGGGACCTTCATTAATAACAGCCTCCTGCTCCACCATCATCAGGCCCCACCCTCCTACCCCATCACCAGTCTGCACTTGAAGGAAGGGAACCGTCTTACTCTCTCTGAGGTAGTGGAGATGTGAGAGAAGGATGTCAGCATTGTAGCTCGGGGTGAGCCTCTGAAAGTCATCTTTGGTCATCTTGCATAGCTCCTTGCCATCGATATTCTGGAACAATAGGATGTCCACGTCTGGGAGGCTATATTCTTTTACTGCCCACTCCAGCCACTGCCGGACGTGGTCTGTACTCCACAGAGTAGGATCTGAAAAGGGATCAAAACGTATTTCATTAATTCCTAAAGGCAAATTCCCAGGGGAGAGCCTTTCCTAGATGGGATGTCTGTTAGTCACTGCTTTCCAAAACAGCCCCTTTCATGTGCCTCAAGTTAGACACTGGCCAGCAGAGGAGAACATTTACAGGGAAGACAAAATGCCAGTGACTTGTGCCCATAGACAACTGTTGTCAAACTGACTGTATTTCCAAGTTTAGGATTATCCATGCCACCTCCCCTCACTGTTACAAAGTATTTTGTACAATTATTGATATCTGCCATTGAGTCAACTCATGGTGACTCATGGAAAACTCATGGTGGTCCATGTATAATGGAGCAAAAAAATACCCAGTGCTGTATCATCCCCATGTGTGGTTGTGGATCGGACCATTATCAGCCACAGGGTTTCCACTGACTGATTTTCAAAAGTAGATAGCCAGGCCTTTTTTTCCATTCTTAGTTTGAAAGTTCTGATGAGACTTCTTAAGTATTATAGCAATGTAAGATACCACTACAAGATTAGTTGTGGCTGCACACAAAGCATGCTGTTATGTGCCATTGGGTCGCTTATGACTCATAGTGACCCTATGTACAACAGCTCTGAACCCTGCTCTATCCTGAGCCAGTCTCATTGTCCCTGACACACATACCCTCTGTACTCCAGTCACTGAATCAATCCATCTCACCCTTCCAAGCATGACATCCCTCTCCAAGGACTGGTCCCTCCTTGCAACATGCCCAAAGTATGTCAGATGGAGCTTCAGAATCCTTGCCTCCAAGGAGCATCCTGGTTTCACCCTCTCTAGGCAGAATCTGTTTGTTGTCCTAGCATTCCACAGTACATTTAATGCTCTTCTCCAGCACCACAGCTCAAAGGTATCAACTCTCTTTCTATCATCCCTAGTCATTGTCCAGTTTTCTGGTGCATAGCAAGTAACTGCAAGACCATGGCTTGGGTCAGGCGCACCTTACTCTCCAGACTGACATCAAAGTCTACCAGCCAGGAATTCAACCTGGGTCTTCAGCATGAAAGGTCAGAATTCTACTACTGAATCATCAGTGCTCCCTAAAATTTCTTCTTGTTGTTGCATGCCATTGAATCAGAACTGACCCCTAGTTGACCCTCCAACAGGTCTTCAGAGTCAGTTAATCACATGGAAGAAGACTGCCCATCTTTCTCCCTTTGACGCCTTATTCACTTAAAATAAATAAGAAGTCAGAGAATGAAAAGAGGAGTCATAGGCTCGGCATAGGAAGAAAATGTTTGTAAAACACCTATGTGATAAAGGATAGTGTCTGAAATGTACAAAGCACTCTTAAAAGGCACCAAAAGAAACAAAAAGCTTAATTGCACACTGGGTAAAAGTTCTGAATAGATCTCTAACCAAAGACTATGTACAGAATGCAAGTAGCATTTGAGAAGACGCTCAACATCATGTATCATTACCCAACAACAGTGAGCAAGCCTGACCTACCTAGAGTGACTGTCCCCTGGAGTGGCTACAAACCCAGAACTCAAAACTAAGTGTAGGTAAGGAGGTGGGGTGACAGAACTTTCACTCATGCCTGGTAGGAATGCAAAACGGTACAATCACTTTCGAAGTTTGAAAGTTTCTTAAAAAATTAGACATTGGTTTATCACATGGCTCAGTATTCAAATTTGTATTTACTCAAATGACTTGAAAACTTAGGTGTACCAAAAAAGTCACGCACAAATTCATATAGTAGTTTTATTTGTAGTTACCAAAAATTGGGAGCAATCAAGTCGCCCTGCAATTGCTCTTCAAACAAACTGGACTGTGGTGTATCCAAACAATACACTGTAATTCAGTGACAAGAAGAAAGGAAAAGACATGGAGGATCCGTACATGCACACTGCTGAGTGAAAAATCTAGTCTGTATGATCCCAAGTAGGATATTCTGGGAAAAATAACACTATAGAGGCAAAGAAAAGATCAATGTTCCAGGGGGCATGGGGGACGCTGAATACGTGGCGCATAGGACACTTAAGAGCTTGCAGTAAAGTCATCCTCCCTATATTAGAGTGTAATACTGGACACACACCATCATGCATTTGCCAAAACTCATACAACTACAACATAAAAGAGGTAATTCTAATGCAAACTATGGACTTCAGTCAATAATTATGTGTTAACATTTATCATCTGTAGTGAAAGTTGCATGCTAACGTGACATGTTAATAAAAGACACCGTGTGCAAGGGGGCAAGGTACTATGTCCCCCTTAATAAGTAACCCTAAATGAAACTGCTTTGCAAAAATGTCTATTAAAAAATTAATAGGAATAAATGATTTGGGTTGTTTTTTTTTAACCTCAGTAAGCACTTAGATTATTTACACACAACTAAGAGCAGGGTAACACTGCATGGTTCAAAATTGGAAAGGGTGTACGCCAGGGATATGTCCTATCTCCATACCTTTTCAACCTGTATGCAGAGCAGATTATCCGAGAGGCTGGGCTCTATGAGGAGAAGCGTGGTGTTAGGATCGGTGGACGATCTATCAACAATCTGCGTTATGCAGATGACACAACCCTGCTCACTGAAACTGCGGAGGACCTCATGCACTTGCTACAGAGGGTCAAGGACTGCAGCCTTCAGTATGGACTGAGGCTCAATGTCAAGAAGACAAAGATTCTCACCACTGGACCAATTGGCAGCATCAGGATGGATGGCAAAGAGATTGAGATTGTTCACAGCTTCAGTTTGCTTGGCTCCATGATCAACACTCTTGGCACCAGCAGCCAGGAAATAAAAAAACGTATTGCGATGGGAAAGTCTGCTGTTAGGAACCTCTCTAAAGTATTCAAGAGCAATGGTGTCTCTCTGGAGACGAAGGTGCGCCTGATACAGGTCATGGTCTTTGCAATCACTTGTTATGCATCAGAGAGTTGGACCATGACTAGAGAGGATAGAAGGAGAATTGATGCCTTTGAGCTGTGGTGCTGGACAAGAGTATTGAGTGTACCATGGAGTGCCAAGAAAACAAACAGATTCATCCTGGAGAGGGTTAAACCAGGCTACTTCCTGGAGGCAAGGATTCTGGGGCTTTGCCTGACATACTTTGGTCATGTCGTAAGGAGGGACAGATCCTTGGAGAGGGACATCATGCTTGGGAGGCTGGAGGGACAGTGCAGGAGGGGAAGACCTATGAGGTGGACTGATTCAGTGACTGGAGTAATCGGGATGGGTGTGTGAGAGACAGTGCAATTGGCACAGGATAGAGCAGGGTTTAGGGATGTTGTACATAGGGTCGCTATGAGTCGCAAACGACTCGACGGCACGTAACAACAACAACAACAACAAGAGTTAGTACACATATGGGAAAGGTGCTAACTGCAAATAATAAAAACAGTATTTATACAACACTGGAGAAAACAGACCACTAAATGATAAATAAAGTCTAGGCAAACCAAAACCCTCATACCTACCACAAGCCACCACTTCTGAGAAAAGCCTGTCAGTTACAGGCTGTTTCTGCTGAAAACTCGATTCTGTAACTAACTCAGCACCTGCAGCATCCTGGGCTGGATGAGGGACGTCTTCATGCCCAGCTGTGGTTCATAAACATCCCTACAGGATGCAGGCCACACTGTCACACTCCACTGGTGTGATGAGAGGAGACTTTGGTGAGGGACCAGGCAGGCAGAGCTCTGGGGAAAAGGGGCAGGTGACCCCTAACAGTGACAGCTGGGACCACCCGCCCTCTCTCACTGTATATGCTCTCAAGGGGGAGGTCTTCAGAGGGCCTCATTCATGGAAGAACCAGAAATTCATTTTTTTTTAAAAAAAGGAAAGAAACAAAACATGAAAATGTGTGTCAGAGGAGACTCTAAAGCTTGCTTTCTTGAATGTAAACTTGGCAAAAGTGAATGTAAGAGAAAAAGTCCAGAATAAAAGATTGCCAAGGACAGTGTGGGAAGAAAAAAAATTACCATGAAATATGCAAAGAACAAAAGCTCTTAAAAGTCAGAAAACCAAAACCAAAGAACACACTTGGCATTTCTTGAGCTGAAAGTACTGAAGGAAAAATTCAGTCCTTGTTGTTGTTGTTGTTGTTATGTGCCGTCGAGTCGCCTGCGACTCA